GTAATGGAATTTGACCAATTAAAACAAAGTTCACTAAATTTGAGATTGGTTTTCTTTCTTCTAATTGGTTAAATCCCAATTCAATCTCAATCTCAATCTTTAGTCTGATACGGGCTTAAGAGTAATCTCGTCGGTGGGGCAATTGTACATACGTATGTATGTACCCTAATTTAGCCACAAAGAACAAACCTTACACATATATGTATGTACGAACGTACTCCAACTTTGGCAGGCCTACCAGGGGCCGATCAACTTCCTTGGCGATGCTGCATCGTCAAGCAGACTGGCGGATTGTTTTTGCGCGGCGGCAGTCGTGAAATTCGGGCGTGAGGCATGTCGCATTTGTGACGATCGACGACAATTACGTGGTAGAAAAGATCTCGCCTCCGGGATGGGCGACAATTTTTGGGAGCCCCTTGCCGAGATCTACATCGCGGATCGGGAGTCCACCGATCCCGATGATTACATTTACTGTCTTTGTAGCCGAATATTTATCCGGTAAGTGCACCCAGTCGCACTCTTCCGTTTCATTTCCACGGTGTCGCGAGAATGAAATGTCCAGTATATATCGCATTCGTCAGGCATGCGAAACGTTATAAAGAATTAACGCGCTTATTGATCAGCGTCGGTATTAAGCATGATTTAACCTTGACACCCACTCGTCCATCGCGAGTGGGTCGCGATGAATTTTGTTTGGTAAACTACAAATTTTTCGTCATTTCGTCGTTTTACTTGAAAAATAATTTAAATTCCTAAATCAATAAAACACCAGTTTTCTAATTAAGAAGACAGTAGCATCTGGCATCAAGTATATACACATATGTGTATGTATATAGAAATATAATCTCGTGGAAGGCACTAACTCTTACCGGAATGATTTTTTTAGGTGTAATTTAGCAGTGATTACTTATATTTTCTTATAAACCCTTTTTCCTCTATAATACAGCATATGGTCGCTGATTTATCGAGATTTTGAACTCGTTAGAAAACAGACTTACAAAATGTAGAAATTTTAATTACACAGCTTATTTTTATTTGAATGATATGAAAAGATGGCAGTTTAACAGGAACTTTGGAAACAGATACTCTTATTAATCATTTGTATCAATTTATAATTCTTGTGAATAAAAACAAAATAATAATCTGATCTGATGTTTGTTAACAGAATGAAGTTGATTGATATAGAATCAAATAATATGAGAAAGTTAAGTTTGAAACCTAAGTTTAGAGTAGAATAAAATTTTTGTTTTTGTTTGTGAATTTTTATACACGCTTAGAAATTAATGTTTTTATGTCTTTTAAGAATTAATGTTGTGTGTTTTGTGTTGTTTAGAATTATGAGACTTGTGCTTCTATACCTTATTCTTTCTAGGAATCCTGAGGTTTATACTGTCTTAGCTTCAGAAGATGCCAGCGAAGGGGAAGATGCCGATGGGGATTATGTGGGAGAGATGCTGGATCTTTCCAAGGGATCTGGAGTAGAGACACAATCCATAGAAAAGCACGATGTACGACATGTTTATATCATTTCTAACAATTTTTATATGAAGTATATAGCTAGTTGACGGTCTATTATTTTTACGCCATTAAATTACTCATTTGTTCTTTAATACAGGAAGAACCAGTAAGCTGTTATTGCAGTGCTTCTCACACAGATAACAATTATTCTACGGACGAACATGATTCCGTACGCGATTCGGCTCATTGGCCCACTGCACATTCCTTAACCCAGAAATTAGGTCTGCACCAGTCAGATTCTGGTGCAGATTTATCTGAATATCACGATCAGCATGAGGCAAAAAGTATACAGAATCTCGTAGCATCCTATGGAAAAACTTTCCAAACTATAGAAACTGAAGTTGAAAACAGTTGCGAAAATGTTGATATGTTAACTGAGTATAAACATGTATCAGGTAATTGTCGTTATTAAAGGTCTCAGAGAGATCGTCTTAATTCATTCCGAATTTTAATGTGTAGACAGATGGTGATTTTACATTTTTATTTTTTTTATTTTTTCATTAGGTGACAAGGAACCAGTGGTACAGAATTTATCAGACAGTACCGCTATATTAAATACTGAAGGACACAACAAAGATCTCATTACACAATATGATTATAACACTTACGCTTATCCCTATTCTGTAGATTATGGCAGTAATAAGAGTGCAATGGACATAGCGTGGGACAAGTTTTGGGCTAAACACGGAGAGCAATTAATCTGGGCATCCTGGATCGGAAAATATGCGGATTACATCAATCCTGATTATTTTCAAAATAATGTGCGCACAACGGAAGACGAAAAGCCACAGGATGCAGAGATTAATGAAGTAGCGATAGAAAGATATTTTGAGCAAAATACGTGTTTCCCATCGCAAGCGCACAAGAATTGCGAACTTGTACGTTCTAACTTTGCAGGAATTTTCAATAAGAGTTATTCGAGTGACAGTGAACTAAAGCCAGCAGCAATATCTTCTTCGAATACTAGCTTCTCATTCGAGCAAGTAAGCAGACAAGAAATAAATGATAAAGATGCAGACGAAAATAGAAAGAAAATTCTTAATTTCGAGATCTCGCCGGAAGACGGCGACGGTTGGAATCCGTTAAGCCCACTTAGCATAGAAGAAAATTATAATCACCCTTCTAATGCAGAAGATGAAAGGCTATTAATGAGATGCGACTCCGTTAATGGTTCGATAACGAAAACGAATGCAACTTCCGATTCCATGACTAACGTTACCAAAATGACGTTAACTAGTTCGAGTTGTGATTCCAATTCTGTTCATTCGTCTAGTCTCGTCACTTCCGTTACAAGCTCCATAGAAAGCAGCATGACTAGTAGTTCCGATCAAGAAAACGAATTTTCAGTAGAAGACAACGACAAATATTGGCAGCAATTATGGAAGGAGAATTTTGAAACACAATATCAAAAACAGTACGAATTATTCATAGAAAATTATAAAAAGGAGCACAATATAGATTATAATCAATTGTATTTTAACACGTTGAATGAACCATGTGATGATTCGTTGAACGAACCACGTGATTCCATTATACTTCAACAAAACGAGGAAGCAGCGAAGCTACAGTATCAAGAGGATAAAAACGAAGAGTTTTTAAAGATTGACACCTGTGAAGATCAAAGAGACGAGAGCATGGATCTCGTAGAAATTGATTTAACTACACCAAGTAAAGTAAATTCCGGAAATAGAAACTCACGGAAGAACAACACGAATTCAAAATCCAAGCTGAGGACGCAGAGGTTGATTATGGATTCAGTGGGCATGCTTATGAAGAACTTAACGATAAAGATGGAAGAGGATAAACCGACTGACGTTGTTAAGGAAGAAGAAATGCACGAAGAGCAGCAACAGGCTCAAGATTCGATGGTTACTGAAACCAAAATGGAAATAATGGCTTCCAGTAGCAATTTTAACAATAGTCATCAACAAAAGTCTTCTGATGGAGGGGATGAATTTCACGAAGAGGTTCAAGAAATTTACGGACAAAGGTAAATAGTATAATAATAATAATGATATAGTATTAGCAACGATTATCATTTGCTCGTCATTAATTAGATGACCTTCTGTTGTAGTACTCAAAGTTAATCAAAGTACAAGTATAGTGTATGAATAAAATTTCTTATTCTTATTTTCTTTTTTTTTATTTAGTCACGAGGCTAATTGTAACGATAGTGAAGATGGTTTAGAAACCGTGAAAAAGGCCTTTTCATTAATGGGTTATGCCAACTTTATTGAGAATGAAAGCCAAAGAAAATTGCAAGGCGAAGTTGTTTATCGGAAACGCAATATCAGACGGCAAAGTTTTCAATTGATGGCAGAACATAAACGGAAAACTAAATATAAAAATACTCTTGATGCGGAAACGATCATCAAATATACAAAGGTAACATTTACTTAATATATTAGATTTGTTGCTTTCATATAAAATAAGTTTTTAGTTCTTTGTTGTTTATTTTTAAATACTTAAATTTCGAATTGCATTACTGCGTGTGTGTCAAAACAGAAAGAGAGATGATGCGCCCTATAGTTTCATAAATATTTAGTTTGATTTTATATTCAAGTAATCAGATTTGTGTTTTTTGTAGCTAATTCTATAATTTTTACTTTTAAAATTGAATATATGTTAAATGTTAGACAAAGAAGGATAAAAGAGATAAAACATATTTAAAAAATCTATTGTTAATTAAAAAAAGAAATAATTATTAATGTGTTTTTCTCAAAAAATTAAAAAAATGTTGACATGTTTTTTGTAGCTACAGTTATAATTTTTGTATTTTAAATAAAATAGATACATAAAATTATTAGGAAAGCAAGAGGAAAAATAATAATAAACAGTACAAAAAGTTTATTTGTAAACGAATCGAACTTTATAGTTCTGTAATTATACAACTTACAACTAAAAGCATTGCATATAAAAACCTTTATTATTCTAATATTTGATTTGTTCTTTATAATTACTATCGAAAATATTTTAGTTATTATAGAATTATAGAGTTATTATAGAATTAATATATTTTACTTATTTTAGCTATCAAACTTTTGCATTTTTCATCTTTCTTTCCAATGTCTAATTGTGCGCCTATTTCCCTTGTGCAGAAAGTGCAGAAGTGCAACATAGTGCATGTATAAAGAACAGTTGCATTGTCTCATATTGTGAGGTTAATATTTGGATATGACTCATATTGTGAGGTTAATATTTCGTATGCCGTCTTCTGCTAAAGCAAATTTTTCAAGCGTATCGATTGGTTACAAAATAAAGGATTTTTAAAAACTCGAGAACTTCTCTATCTTGTAGCCAATTAGCACGCTAGAAAAATTCCTCGTACGACGAATTGAAATACTAGCTTAAGTCCCGAAACACAATAGATATAATAAGCCGTAAGCCGTAAGAAATTAACCAATCATAATCCATTATTCTCTTCAAATTCAATAGCAATTGGTTCATTCTTACGGCTTAAGGCTTACAACACTTGTGTTTCGGGACTAAATCATTCTCGTTTCCACATGCGTCTACACGTGTGGGTTTGTAGGGAAGCGAAAAGGAAAGAAAAGAAAAAGCGTAGGTCGTGTCATCCGAGTTGCGTTCAAAAACGTTATCCGAGTGTATCCCCGTGTATCACTTTATCCTTCTTATTCTTCGAATATCCATCGAACGAGGATAAAATTATTAAAATTATACAGTATACACGAGGCCGACCGAATGACGTTTTTGAACGCAGCACCACTGTGGATCCGTGTCGTTCTTTCGATCGTCAGATTTTTAACGTATCGTTGTTTTCCGATTATAGACAAACAAGTATTTGTCGTGCAATCCAGCATCGATTTCGGCGGAAACCGATGCACAGTCTAATGACAAAGGTTCCTACGCAAAGGCACAAGCTGCATTCACGTCAAGTTCCGATGATGAAGATAGTGTAAAGATGATGCAAAGAAAGAAGAGAAGGAAGCAATTTAAGAGGTTAAATAAAATCCTTCCGAGGGAGATAGCCAACGATTATAGGCTGTGGAAGTATTACATCAAACGATTTGGCCTTTTCAGCAGATATGAAGATGGTATCAAGTTGGATCGAGGTATGTATATGTGTTCCCGTGTATTTCTCAAAATGATAGATTTTATACATGTGTAAAGTGATAATCTGTATATCTCTTGCAGAGAGTTGGTTTTCTGTGACACCGGAAGAAATAGCTAAGGATATAGCAGAGAGATGTAGGTGTGACACAATTATTGATGCATTTTGTGGCGCAGGCAGCAACACTATTCAGTTTGCATTTACATGTGAAAGAGGTATGTCTAATCTGTTGTACAAAATACTTTTATCTATTGGACAAAATGTACATTTAACTGATTGTATTTTGCAGTGATTGCCATAGACATTGATCCTAATAAAATTAAGATTGCTCGGCATAATGCAGGAATTTATGGTGTGGACGATAGGATAGAATTTATTACTGGAGATTTCATGCAATTAGCACCACAGTTGGTTGCCGATGTCGTGTTTTTGAGTCCGCCGTGGGGCGGACCTGACTACATAAAGAGAAAAGTATTTGATCTCGAAAGTATTATGCCTCCCGTTGGTGGAAGAAGGATATTTGAAGCAGCAAGAAGAATCACGCAACATGTGGCCTATTATCTTCCTAGAAATTCAGACCCTCTGCAGGTAAACAATATTCTTACAATATTTAAATTATTGTAATATTTAAGAAATTAAATTGCAATTTGTTACAATTAATATACTGTATATTATATATATATATATATATATATATATATATATATAGATCTCTCTCTCTCTCTCTCTCTCT